TATAGAGACTAGGACAGGTGAAGACAGACATTAGTACTGATATAACAACTTTTACTTTCATTCTCCTTTGGATTAAATGGCACAGCATGCTCTGGCCACCTCTTTCCAAACACTGCCAAAAAAAAAAAAAAAAAAAAAAAAAAAAGAAGAATGTTAGTGGGAAAGATTTTAATGCACAGATTTGTTAGTTTCTATTGACGTTTGTCAAATTTACTTTTTGTCATAATCCGGTAGACTTGACAGATGTGACAAGGATTTAGCACCTAGCAAGCTGGTAAGGTGACAGTGGTAAAAAGTAAAAGTTGGAGGCGGGGAGAGAGGGCAAGAATGAGAGTGGACGAGGTAAAGGAGAAGGAAAAACACTCTTCCACAATATCTAAAATAACATGTTTTTCTTCAGAGTAACATCTATTTAGCTCATCCGTTTTTACATGGAGACTATAAATCCAAGTTACTTAGCTACATACCAAATGCGCCAAGCTGCACCTCTTTTTCTCTTGATAAGGTGTACCCTACTGCCACTGTGAGATGAGTAAATTACTCCACCTGTCTAACTGATCCCCAGTATTCAGCCTGACACTGACAATGGCAGTGCACCTGTTAGTGTGATGGACAAGTGATTGGCAGCGTGGCATTTGCAGCTTTCTATAATAAGTTGGTTATTATACAATGATGTTGACAATCTAGAGACTGCAAATATTAAAGTGTAACTAGGTATGTGCTTGAAAAAGAGAAGAAAAAAAAAATAACCAAAAAAACAGGCTATAGGTGAAATGTGACCTTGCATAAATTTTATGCCAAAGGCTTTTTTTTTATTTTGGAAATAAATAAATAAATAAATAAACTAGATCACTTTTTCTTAGGAGTGAATTATTCTATTAATGTGTAGCTAGCAAATGTCAATACTGAGTTCTCCTATAAACTGAGTACAAGATTGCAATTCATTATTTTAATCAGCTTCTCAGCTACATAGCACCTATACATGCAAAATGTATAAGGAAATTCAGTTAGTCTCTGTAAGAATTCACCTTCTGCAGCCATATTAAACTACAACTTTCATGCAACTATTCCACTCTTTTCCCACTGTCCTACAATGTCTTTTATTTCTGTAAAAGCATCAACCTGGTCACAATGCTTCCTGCTGTTTGAAGACAAGCAGGAGTCTCAACAGCTATTAGCAGCCGGAAATCTGATGGCTCTTGTATTTAACTGTTACTTATGATGCCTATCTGTACACTAAAAATCTTATAGGCCCAACCAGAAAAACAGAGTATAGTAGAATTTTACAACTGATACAAAAATTTTAGGCAAAACAATATTTCATTTAAAGCCAGCATCTTGTCTCCAGCTGCTACCAGTATTAGGCAGAATAAACTGACTGTACCAGTTGGGCATCTTTGACGTCATCTCATTCCTATCATTTTTCCATTCTTAAATTTTTATATTCTCAATAATTTCAAATTAGCTTAAGCCTGAAAATAGGGATTTTTATATCTGATAATATATTCTTGTTAGCATTACTTGTTCTAATGATTGATATCCTTGATCTTCACTTACAAGTCTACAAACTTACTAGGAGTATGTGTTCCATATTACGGTAAACTGTAAAACATGACAGTGCCAAATTGCCTTCCATGAGAGCATTTTACCCCGAAGCGTGTTACTGTGATTAAACATAGGAAAATCTTGCAAACTATAAAACCTGAAGATTATGATGTGACACCCCAAAAGCTTTAGAATTTTAATTATGTTGTCTACACACACACTGCTTGGCATTCCTTTTTCTTTAACTGCAATATAATAGACATGTAATGTTATAGGTTCTGTTCAGCAAGTGACATATTCTATGAATATTTACATGGTATTCTGATTAAATTGCTAATCTTGGTTCCAATTGCTATGTTTGTCATAGCAATCTGGACAGCACCAGGTTGCAGCCTTGAACTCTGGCATGTGTATCCACTTGGTCAAATTGTTCTCTAGCCTATGAGTTTCTTATAATCCCCAAATACAGTTGAAGTCGTATAGCAAGAGACTGCTCTACTAGCAGAGAACGTTTTATTTTTGTTGCTTTTTTGTCTTCCTTTGGGGAGAAGTAGCTAATAAAGCACACGGACATACAGGAAAGGTGGATAATAAATGTTTAGGCATACGGGTGCGATCAGTGCTGTGATATTTAAAGAACAGAATTTTCCAAATCCATTTGTTGGCTTTCAACCAAAACCAGCAAATTTTGATTTTAGGGAAATGAAGAAGGTGTGAAAGTACATGAGACAAATCAATGCTTAAGCAGCAAAAGGTATGTCTTCCTCATACCTAGATCATGCTCAAAAATCATGCAAGTATATTTAAAAATTCCACGTATGATTTTTTTTTCTTTTGTATCCACAAACATTCATCAATGCTTGCTGAACGTTGATCACACAGTGGATGTGAAAGCAGAGAGGCAGTGGGTGGTACACTTCAGTAGTGGAGACAACAATTGTGAGTCCTCTTGGCTGGTGCAGATTTTTACTAGCGTGGCATGCAGTCCATCACCGGTGAAAATACACAGCTAATGCCAGAGTCTATCCTGAAAATTAGTGTTTTGTAGATGAGAATTTGCTCTATCAATTAGTGTTATTGTGCTCTTTGTATCTGTTGTAGATTCCAAGGTATATAAATAAAAGGCATTATTTTGGAGAGATCTACATATGTCTACACATACAAAAATACTTTTCTGTTCTAACTTTAGTGAGTAAAATTTAGAAAATTAAAAGAATGCTGAAACAAGCAGCTACATACTCTAAATGACTGCTGCAATGCAAAATCCTGTCTCACAAAACTTGTATAGTGACTTGAAATCTATCATTTTTTTCCCAATCTAAATGCTATTTTTCAATTCAGTGGGCCTCAAGCTTTTCAACAAACTGAATCAATTTGAAGCTACTCATTCAAAAGGATCCTTAAATGCCAGCCTTAGAATTCAACATGACAGAATAGACAAAGAGTCATCTTCATTTCCAGTCACAATCAGTTGTGTGCAAAGCTCCATTTCAGAATAGGGCCACATGACTGTGCTATCAGTGAAAACCTCTCAGGAGAGAGCAAATAGCCTCCTATTTTTTGTTGTCTTTATTTTTGTTTGTTTGTTTCCAAAATGTAATTGCAAATGATTATATTTTTAAATGGAACTCTTTTAGAATATTCAGTGGCTTTTTTTTTTTTTTTTTAATTTATATTTTACTTCAGGCAAGTCAAAACGATTATTCAAAGTTAGGAGTGGTAGAAGTGATAGATTTTTAGCTAAACAAGTTCATGGTGAGTACTTCGCACATGTAGGAACACCACCCACTTTAAGTGATTTCACTTGGTAAGTGCAAACACAGAGCGTTTTAACCTGCATAAGTCTTAATCATGCTCAATTGCAATTATACAGCCTGAGCATATGACAGAGGTCTGATACCAAAGATCTGGTTACAGTTTGGGAAAAACGCAGTCTCTGATGGCTGTGAAAAACTTCTGCCACAACACCATGCTTTTGAAGGGGGAGGTGGTAAATGAGAGTTCAAAAGACTCCAGAGCAGCTGCTCTGTCTCTAATGTACACCTTTACCCATGTAAACTAGCTCTTTGATCTCATGTAGAAATTTGGCTGCCTTATGCAAGCAGAAGGTACGTCATTGTAGACCTATTTATATACAGCTAATTTGTTTCTATACAAATGCTTTAGAACGAGAAAAAGAAGCTGTGCTGGTGAGTAGTACACGAAGAGGGAATCAAGTGTAGGGGGCATTGCTCACATTTCAATAAAAGCAAGAGAATAGAGGCTACAGAAGCAGGAAAGTACATTAAAATAGTAATACATTAACAGGAACACTGATCAAAAGGCAATAAGAAAAAAAAAAAAAAAAAAAATTCCAGGACATTCAGAGGACCATCAAATTCCAAAACAGTAAAGGAAAAAAATCGTTTGGATATATGCACACCAGACAGAGTAGAACAAAGGAAGAAGTTAACGTATATTCTGAAACTTTTCCTACCACTGAAAGCATCAACATAAAGATTTGAGAGACAGAGCGTAACAGGCAGACATATTTTTCACCAGACTCTGCTTAGTACTAAAACTTCCTAGCACTATTTTTATTTATTTATTTTATTTTATTTGTGCCATCATTTTCTCATTTGCTGGAGCAGCAGCTAACAGAAGAACCAGTATGCAAACTGGATAGAGTGCCCCACCTTCAGTTCTCAGCTCCTTTCAAGTACAGGAGAATGCTCCCTCTCAGGAACTGTTACCCTCTGTCCAGATTTCTGTCCAGATTTTTGAAGCACTGAGCTATCCCGAGCATGCAGACAACGTCCTGGCACATCTCTCACAGAACAGTCTCCTCTCCCCTGTGGTGCCACAGCATCTCAAATGTGGAAGGTTAACAACATAAAAATGTTATGAAATATTCTCATTTCTACAGGACGGAGTAACACATTAAGTTGGCCTCAAAACGTATTCTGTTCTCACATTTAGCTGCTAGTTTATGAACTGTGTCACATACTAAATTATCACTACTGAAAACAGCACACCTGTCTTGCCCCTTCAAAGCTCCGTTGCATCCAAATAAATGAGGGCATTCTGATAGGTGCTCTTTTCTAGGTTTAAAAAAAGAAAAAATAAAATGCTGTAGGTTTTGTTCTCAGTCAGTTTTGCTGTTTCATTTTGTGTGGTTTTGTTTGTTTGCTTGTTTGTCTTTGTCCCTTTTTACAACGTTTCTGATTGATAGTTCTATCAAATCTGCGGTAGTAACCAACTAGCAAACAAAACTCCAGTGGGAAAATACAATTGAATACAGATGAAAAACGGCTGTATAGAAGATTTTCTAAAAATGCACAAAACAACCATGGTTCATGGCTATCTTTTAAATCTACCTACTTCATTTTTCTAGTAGGTTTATTTGACAAGGTCAATACACTGAAAATGCTGATGTTACTCAGGTATCATTTCCACTAGTAGGTATTTAGTTCAACAGAGTAAGTCATTGAAATTATGACTATCTGTACACGTGAATGTTACATTTAAACAAGTACATCAGAAAATCTGAGTGTGGTTTGTAATAAGCTAGGTCTTTAAAACGTTTAGAAGCAACTAGCAAAAAGCTATACCCTAACAACACCTAATTAAAATGGATAAAGTAGTGTTATTTTACATCTTTTGATCACATTCATTTTCTCTAACAGCCTATATTATACAACCAGGTACAAACTATGTTACATTAGTAATTAGATAGACCCAGCATCTGCAGACATTTCTGTCAAGAAATCTATTAAATCTACTGAACATGAATCTTTTGACAAGCTATACTGTACCACTAGCAATGCTTCTACTCCTGTAATAACTCTCTTAGTACCATACCACAATTGCAAAATCATTAATTTACCATTCCTCTTCTTTTAAAGGTAAGAAAATCAGAAATGCCTTCCTAGTAGAACACAAAATGCTATTGACTAAATTCTAAATAAAGTCATGCTGTACCAAAATCACCAAAATTCCACCACTGGGAAAGTTCCTTTGATATAACATACAGCAGAGAATTGGAGTTAGTCTATACTTTTTCTGTGTAGTCTTTCATTTACCTTGTATCAAAAGAATAATCTTATTTTTTTTCTTCTTTAACAACCTCAAAGCCAGTTTTAATTAACTGTAAGCCATGACAGCTGCTAGAATCCAAGAAATCTCTTCCCACTTTGAAGGTTGTCTACATATTTTTAAAGACCGGATGTAGAAGCTTTAATTGTAATCTTAGAAGCAACATTAAAATCAGAAGATATCAATTCAAACATCTCCTGTACCAAGAAGAAAGTATTTTTCTGACTTTACTGGATTTTGAAACAGGACCTTGTTACTTTGTACAAGACAACACAACCAATGGAAGTGATATTGCATAAAGCTCTGAATATTCTGCTATTCAAAACTTTATTTTTTTCCTGCACAGAGGTCATACAGAAATTTTATATGAAACCAGGAGAGGGTCAGGTTGAGAGAATATTAAGATCGATTCTTAAATATTTTCTCCATATTTATAAAAAGTGAAGTTAGGGGAATAGACCACATTGCTGTTCACAATCTCCAAGCAAATATGTAACAGTCTCCTTAAAGTTTATAAATATTATTTAGAAAGGTCTATGTTGATATTCTATTGGCATCAGTTTGTAGTACCTAAATGTAGTATTCCATGAGGTCTGTGAAGCCTCATTCATGTGATCAAAAAAAATCTGTAAGAGGAAAGTGGACAGAAGCTGCAATATTCTGAATGCCTCTTCTAATTCTTAGCAAATTTGTAGTCTTAGTGATGTTAGTTGTTTTGGTTTTTTTTTCCCTCCTTCAACTACACATCTGCTCACTGGGGGGGAAGAGGGGAAGAAAAAAAAGAAAAAGAAAGAAGTGAAATGATGGATTTCATATTCAGAAGCATAGAAACATTGTGTTCCTTTCCTTTACTCATAAATGCTTACAACAATGCAGAGAACGAATGACAAGAGAAGGCTTATCATCATTAATTGTGGGCATTGTGCCAGTTGACTCCCTCAATACAATGCCTTCTCAGAATCAGAAGAAAATGAAATATGTAAAAGAGAGGATCTGAAAGCCTAGAGAATCTTTATGCAAGTATTGAAATGAGAAGCAAATCAGATGAGAGTGTTCGTATGTAAGAAATTCTACCCCACACAAAGAACACAAAATTAATTAATTGCACAAGAAATACTGTATGCATACATTATGCTTTGCTTCCACTGACAAAAGAAATACAGACACAAACATTTTTACATTGCAAATGTTCCAGGCTAAGACTTCATAGAAATCCTTGATACTCAATGCTGCTAATTTGGGGAAAAAAAAATAAAAAAAAATAAAAATCAAAGTATTATTCAGATATTTCAGCTTGAAGCCACACAGTCTGTTGTCTGTTGTGCATACCAAAGCAGTACATTGGAGTATCTAATTTTTAGTACTGATTTAACATTTAACAGACAGAATTGTGACCATTATTCTTGGTTTTCAGCACTGCTCAGTAAAAAGAGAACTGTCATTTTTAAAACAAAGAAAATGACAATGTCATATTGGATTGATTTTGTTTTAAGTATTTGAGAATATAATTATTTAGCTGAACAACACAAAGCTAAGTCCACTAAGCTCTCCCTGTATGATTTAAACAAGCAGCTCAGTGTGACAGGATATTCAGAATGTGTTATTCATATGTGACAATAGAAATAATTCCTTCCGATGTGTGGATGAAACACATATTTCTATTTGTTTGAAATACATCATAGTAGAGAATCCTTTAGAATGTGTCCATTCATCAAATCAGAAAGACTGTGTTAGCAGATGAGTTACTGGAACACTACACAGGCTTTTTTTGTTTTGTTTTGTTTTTCAATATCAAAACTGACTATATGCACAGGTTGAAGTGTAAATAGTAGAAACTGATTGTTTTGCTATGAATAGTAGTGTTGCAATATGAAAGCAAACAGCAATAAATGAATAATCTTGTAGCTTTTCTACTAGATGTGCTCCCATTGAAAGTTTCCAGCAAAATTTCAGAGGAGCAAAAAACTTATCTCACATCTGCTCACATTGACAAGCTTCCCAGCTGAATCTGATACATTTTAAGAAAAGGTAGAACTGAAGATCTGGGAAAAAAAAATCTTTTTCTTCCTTTTAAACTTTGACTTGAAATTAAGCACAATTTAATCTTAACGTTTAAAAACTTTCATGATCCCATAAAAATTAAAATTTGATTGTAAAGAAAAAATAAACCCTAACAGCTGGATGAACATTAATCTTTAGGAAAGCACATGTTCTGAGAATCATGTTTGTTTTTAAAACATCTGTAGTCATTTTATAGAAAATTACATTCCTCGAAAAACAACATATTGCAATCACATTTCATTCACATTGGTATTCTCATCTTATGCATACTATAATATCTAATACCAATATAATAACAGCATACACTATCTACAAGTTATTAATGTAGCCAGAAAACACTTTTTTTTACTTTATATCTCTTTTGTTTGTAAGAAATGTGATTAACTAAATCTTTATTTTATATTACAAATCAGAGTATTTTTAATTGTAATTGAGAAAGGAAAATAAAAAGCCATATAATTCCCATTGAAAGACAACATAAAGATGATGAGTATTTACAAGAAAGCAGTTAAAGACATTACTTCTTTTTCTATTTAACTTCAGTATAGCAGTTCCTAATGCATGTGGCATATATTCCAATCATCTGATCAATGCCTATCGAATTACACAGCCAAGACTGCAAAAGCCAGGTGATAATCAAATTTCTCTGTTTAACAGTATGTTTAAAACTTTCTACAATCACCTGAACCTTCATGCTATTTGGCATTCAGCTTAATTGCACAGATGTTTTCACAGATAAATAATGACTTGACCAGCTAGTCTTCCATGGAGCACAAGACAGGTGGCCATACCATATCATTCATTGTTAGAGAGTTAAGTACAATGAACTTCAATGCTGGAATGTTAGCAATGCTAACAATGCTCTTGTTCTCCTGTGTGTCATTTTGTCAACTACAGTTAAGACTGCTTGCAAACCAGCCATTTTTACAGGTTCCTGCAGACTCACAAAAGCAAGTGGCTCAGTTCTTATCACGTGGATATGATGGAGGTGGGAAGCACAGTGGGAATGGAGGTCTACAACGGAAAGGGTCTGCACTGGAGAGGAAAAAACAGCATAACAAAAGTACCTGTTTCTGCTGTTGCAGTTCCTAAGCAAGTTAAATGCAAAGAACATAGTTCTCTCCTCACATTTTAAGCTGGGCATAAAAATCCTCTCTAATAATGAGTGATCTATACTTCTGAACCTCTCTCAGAAAAAAACTTTCCCTTAACTATGTTTCAGAAATAACAGTTGTTACTTCTACTCATACTGCACATCAGTAAACTGAGGCACAAAAAGATTGATGTACAAATGTTAAGAATGCTTTTGGCATTCAGAAACCCAAACAGTTAATCTTTATGTATGTGCTTCTATAGATGTACTATAGCCGTGAAGCCGTACTTCTTAGGCTTTCTCAGGTGTAAAATGAGGTATTTCCAAATTAGAGACACCTTTTAAATTGAGATAGGAGACACTGCAAAGGCATACAATGACGAAGTCCATTTCTTCTGTCCATTTCTAGCTGCAGATTAGAGAGAAAAAAAACAAACTTGACTTCCTATTCCTATATGTGTTTACCAGATTTTCAAAAATTCAACCTTAGTCTTAGAATTTTGTATACATGATGGCTATCACTCCTGATGATAAAAATGTTAAGTCATTTTTTCCTGAAGCAGAAGTTAAAAACAACATACACCATGCAACAAGGTCAAGTTTTGTGAAAAGAGAATGAACATATATGTATTGATTCCTAGCTGAGTGTGAAGAGTACAAATGGTTCATAGAGAAACAAACCTGTCCTCTATTAATGATGAACAAAAGATTTCCATTCTCACTTCAGTAGAACAAAATAAACACCTGGATGGCATATGACAGTTATGCTAACTAAATCCAGTCTAACTCAGTCTAATCAATGACTATAAGGACAATTTATGAAATGAAATCAGAAACTGAATATAAGATAGGTTACTTTTTTGTTTCAATACTTTCAACCAACATGTACAAAGTCACCATCTTGGTCAAAGAAGATGAATTTCTTCATCATACCAAAAGCACAAACAACGGATTTAAAGGTTCACTAGAAGTTATTACAAGGAATAAAACAACAACAACAACAACAACAACAACAACAATAATAATATACAGCGGTGCAGATTCTTGTACAAAGTCATCTGTCATGTGAATGTCTTGAGCTCTGATACACAGCTTCATAGCCAGATTGAGCATGCCCAGCAATACGTTCAGCAAGCGATGTATTTCAGCTGCTTCTTGTCCTTGTGTATATACCTGTTTTGACAGTGCTCTAATATGAGGAACATTCCTGTCAAAAGCAATCTTTTTGCAACTATAATACACAGCCTTTCAGAA